TCTTCATATAATTAATTTATTTATACAACTATAATATCATCGTAATATTTAATCAACCATTGTATTTACAAGTAGGATCCGGTAGAGAGTATAAAGATAGTCTCTACAAATAGAGAATAGGTATTTACAATATACATACATTTATTTATTTATTTGATCGACCGCCTGCCCAAAAGGCGAGTGTTCGAGTCGTAAAATCTTAACAGTAAACAATAATTCTTAACATCATGATTGCTATAAATCTTTCAACTTCCACCAACGTCCACGGAGCGCTCGTCGCACTTCCGAGTCATCACAGACCGATCGACAGTCGTAGACACTGCGCAGGTTTGCTTGGAGAGAATGAAACGTTCATTTGTTTTTGTATGTATTTATATGTACAATATTTCACTTATACAATTATACCATTTGAAGTCCTAATAATTTGTAAAACATAATAATTTAGTAAATTATTAAACAACCTCTTTTTTCGTGAGCAACGAAATGTATAACAACAATCGTATCACCGGTGTTTGAACGTCGTCGTCGTCGCTTACCAGTAACGATATCGACACATCATCACGTCCAATAACTTTGCGTAATGTACATAAAGAATAACGGACGCTGCAATGAATAGAGTTGTGCGACACGTGCAGTGTTACATCGGGCGCACTATGTACGTGTACGTGTACGTGTACGTGTACGTGTACGTGGCTAGCGGCGGGGCGGCGGGCCGCGCGCCAGCACCGCGGCGGCGCCGAGGAGCAGCAGCGCGCTCGGGCTGGCCGCCGCCGCCTGCTGCGACGCGTTCGTGTTGCGGCTGAGCGTCGCTGCCATCTTGTCACCTGCAACAAATATTAATAATTTAAGTCCTATAATATTCGTTGTATAGTTATACAGGAGGAGGTATGGGGGGGGGGGATGGTAAGCAATCTTTATCATTTAGTCATTTACCATCCTTCAAACCAAGTACTCGAAGGTGTTCGGGTTACCGAGTACTTATTCTGTTGGTAGTTAAGGAGAATAATAATAATAATATAATGCTGAAATGTAAATAAACATATGAGTAGTGTACGAGTACCGTAAAGAATCGACATATGTATTCGAATTCTGTATACAGAGTACTCGAGTATTTACAATGTATTCGAGTCAATACCCGGCACATTCCACTAGAATTATTCACGATGGTTTCCAAGGGAACTGCGTCAGTTAAAATCCATTACAATGCAATGGGTCAGTTAAAATCCATTACTAACAATCCCTTTCCCCTCAAGGGTAGGTGATAGGTAGCGAGTGGGTAGAGTGATACTGACTGCCCTCCGAGACGAAGACGTAGATGTGTGCGGGCTCGGTGTTGGCCGCGCAGCAGGTGTAGTTGCCGGAGTGCTGCGGGCCGGCGGCGCGGATGGCGAGCGTGGACTGCGTCTTGGGGCCGGGCTCGGTCACCACGGTGACGCCGCGCGCCGCGTCGTAGTTGATCATGCGCGCGTTGTGGTACCAGAACACGTACTGCGGCGGCACCGGGCTCTGCGCTCGACGCGGAACAACGCAACTCAAATATATAAAGATAAGAATTGACGGCGACATCGCGCAGGCAATACAAGCGCACACACATACATACAACATAACAAAAGAAGTATCTTCACTATAAAATGCCATTCATTCAATTAATATTACTAAAGGAAAATTTTAAGTGAAAGCAAACAATTTCTAGTTGTTAAAATTGAATAAACTATTAAGAATGTTTTCTGATGCGTAACTAGATGGCATTAGTAGATTTTTAGTCGTCACACTTTACAAATTGTACTCTAAAATAAATTTATCAAGTGTGAAACTTTATTAATAAATAAACAAAATGTCTTGTTATTGTACTCTCCCAAAGATGATAAACAAACATTTGTAAAGAAGAGATCACAAAACAATACGATTGTTTTATCCTTAAAAAAAAAAAAAAAAAAAAAAAAAAAAAAAAAAAAAAAAAAAAAAAAAAAAAAAAAGCAATTTGTAATGCTACCATTTACTAACCCATGACTCACTGCTAACCCACAGACTCACTGCCTAGAATAAGATTCGAAGATCCGGTAAAACATTTACGAGTGTGATGCTACTATCAGCATACCTTTTCAATGATGCAGACGAGGTTGATGGTGGAGCCGGCGTCGACGTGGTGCTCGTCGGCGCCGAGGATGAACGCCTCCGGGACCGCGATGTGCAGGTGCACCAGCCGCGACAGCGTGCCCGACCCCGTCGACACCTGCAAATGCCGCGCGCCACGCGACCATGCAATCATGTCTAGTATACGTATATAGCTTTAACGAGATCGTAAATATGTTCGCTAATTTCATACTGATCTTAAAATATTCCATTTGTAATCAAGAGAGTTTATTCCTCGATAGTTCCATATTAATTTATGTCATTATGATATATATCTTGTTAAATGTGTGTCACGTACCTGACACTCATAAGTGCCGTTGTCGCGCTTTTGCACGTATTTTATTTGCAGGATCCAGTCGTCGGAGCCTTCGCTGTGCAGCACCTGGCGACAGTTTTTGTAATTTGATTAGCAACAAGTATAGGACAACAGTTGGCAACATAAGTCAACTGTATATAGTAAGTGGTAGTTTACTTGAAAGCGCTCGTCGTTGGTGTACATGAGGACACCGGAGCTGATGATATGCCAGTCCCGACGACGCACCCACGACACCTGGAATAAGATATAAGTATATGTATTTATATAACTTACAATGCAATTGAAAATTTATAATTGTATAGTGAGTAATGTGAGTGAGAACGTAATACTGACTCCTCTTTCGCCGAGGTTGCGTACAGGGCAATGCAGGAAGGCGACGGCGCCTAGTTGCACCAGCACGTCCTCCTGGGTGTTGTTGATGGTGGGCTCGCGCAGGATGTGCAGCGCGTCCAGCGAGCCGTACCAGAGGTCGCGCCACGCCGGCACCTCCGCCATCTCGGCCATCTGCGCCACGTCCACCTCGTCCAGCACCATGTCGGCGGTGCCCGGCGGCCCGCCCGTGCCGCCCGTGCCGCCCGCCACTTCACTCGGCTCCACCGCCACTACTGACGATCTTCTGATGCGACGCAGGTGCTCTGTGCGCGCACAATTACAGCGGTCATTGGTCAATAAAGCGTAACTAGTAGTACTGATTACCGAGTAGCTGATTAATGCAGCAATGATTAGCCAGTGGAAAGCGACAAACGTCGCGTCGCCTATAAACAACATAGAATAAAGTAACATATATAACTAATATATGTATATATACTAAATTGAATATCATAGTATAGTTACAATGCGATTTCCATGTAAACACCGTACTCAAACGTGTAGAGTACACAGTTTATGTTTTACCAGACAGAGACTTTATACAAAAGTCGTCTGCTTTGTTACTGTTCCATTCGTATTTCCGCTATGAAGGGCAGGATTTGGCAATGAAGTTATAGGGTTGGCAATGAGGTTACAGAGACATAATACTTTAGTTTTCAGAAATGACAACGCATAAGAATATTATGTGTGCCCCAGTATACTTTATTATGTCCATAGTATTGTTCGTGTCTATAGACAACGGTTAAAATTACCATCAGGTGCGCCGTCAGCTTGTTTACTATTCTAATTTATATAAAAATATATATCTACATAAAAAAAAAAAAAAAAAAAAAAAAAAAAAAAAAAAAATAAATAAATAAATAAAGCGTACCATGGTAAGCGGCGACGTTTCCACCGCCGGCGGCGGCGGCGAGCGCGGCGACCAGCGCCAGCGTGAGGGCGGGCACCATCGCGCGTACAGCACTGCAGCCGGGCCTCACGTCGCCACTGCACCGCTGCACCACACGGGCGCCATTCGCATTACATTTGCAACCTGGAAACAAATTATACAATTAATTAACTATTTATATTAATATTGCCACTTGTATGGAGTATGTGTGCTCACGTTCAATGTATGATACAATTAACTTAAGCATCATTAGGTAAATATGCACGAAGGTCTCATTCAAAACGGATACAATTTTTTTTTTTTATAAGGTCTCTCTTGCATGAAGCTTTTTATATCATTACAATATTTTGTATTGAAAGTGATAAGCGTCGCCTACACGCATGTTCATGCGGCATCACTAATTGTTGTAAATTGACATCCATTTATTAAATTATATAATAATTTTGTAATGACTGGGTACATTGGTCTGTCACATTCAGGTTGGTATCGATATGTTTAACAAGTCATGCTCATTATAATGTCCATACGGGTGGCGCCCCGCGGTGGGCCGGAGCGTTGCCCTCCCTATAATATAGTTGAACACAACGATGGCTGCCCATCCGTCATATTCGTGAACGAGTGCTTCTAGCAGCGATTAGTCTGTTTTAGAATTCTTGTTTGTCTTTTATCATTATGAAGTTTATGATATAATCATTTCATTCATTCCATCCATCCATCCATTCCATTTCATATAGTCATTTTTTTTATAAACTCAACTTTTGTTTGAAAGAAAAGCAAGAACTCAATTTCTTGTCTGTTCTTCTCAACTGAAGTTGTATTCTGAACTGGAAGATAAAAATTGACCATTCAAAAATGTTTATAATTAAGTTTACTTTTGAGATATACTGAAGAATAAGGTAAAAAAAAAAAAAAAAAAAAAAAAAAAAAAAAAAATGACATCCATTTATTAAATTATATAATAATTTTGTAATGACTGGGTACATTGGTCTGTCACATTCAGGTTGGTATCGATATGTTTAACAAGTCATGCTCATTATAATGTCCATACGGGTGGCGCCCCGCGGTGGGCCGGAGCGTTGCCCTCCCTATAATATAGTTGAACACAACGATGGCTGCCCATCCGTCATATTCGTGAACGAGTGCTTCTAGCAGCGATTAGTCTGTTTTAGAATTCTTGTTTGTCTTTTATCATTATGAAGTTTATGATATAATCATTTCATTCATTCCATCCATCCATCCATTCCATTTCATATAGTCATTTTTTTTATAAACTCAACTTTTGTTTGAAAGAAAAGCAAGAACTCAATTTCTTGTCTGTTCTTCTCAACTGAAGTTGTATTCTGAACTGGAAGATAAAAATTGACCATTCAAAAATGTTTATAATTAAGTTTACTTTTGAGATATACTGAAGAATAAGGTAAAAAAAAAAAAAAAAAAAAATGACATCCATTTATTAAATTATATAATAATTTTGTAATGACTGGGTACATTGGTCTGTCACATTCAGGTTGGTATCGATATGTTTAACAAGTCATGCTCATTATAATGTCCATACGGGTGGCGCCCCGCGGTGGGCCGGAGCGTTGCCCTCCCTATAATATACACTCCTCGCAAAAATTAAGGGAACATAAAAATTTTTGAAATTTTTGGGTGATTTTCAACAGGCTGTATTTCAGTGAAAAATAATCGTACAGGAAATTTAAAAAAAAGGGTTTTGAAGCTTGAAAACTCTAGTTTTCAGATTTTTTGGTGAAAAAATTTTTTGAGCTCCGGTTTCCATGCAATTCTTAAACAAAGCTGAAAATATTTTTTTTCAAAATTTTCTAGGTTTCGTTTTTCACTCTATGGGCATGGAAAAATTTTTTCGAGCTACTCCATTATATAGGTCTCTTAGCGTGTTTATTCAGCTTCAAAAATCGCTTTGGATGGCTCAATTACGACCATTTGTCTCCGAGATATCGAACTTTGAATGCAAAAGCATCCTTTTCCATTCAACTGCTAATATCTCTGGAACTACTGGTCGCACAGCAAGCGGGCGCCGAGTTTCTTTATCTGCATAAAATTTCCAATTAAGCACAGTCAAGAGTTAGTGAAGAAAAAATTTTTTTCCACCTCTAACATTGAATTGAAAAAAGTGGAAAAAAGTGACTTTTTCTCCTTTTTTGGTTACTTGGCTGTATCTTCGCTAATATGGGCGGGAAAGCTAAGGTTTGAGGAAAATTTTACAGTCTATTGTTCCTTAAAGAACCCCCTAAATCCCTGGAGCGATCGGTTCAACGGTTTTCCCGGACCAATTGATTGAAATTTTGGAAAAAATAAGGGAACAAGGTTTTTGTCCCTTAAACTCACCCTAATCCATTAAAAAATCAATAATTTCATTTGTTTTTCACTTTTTACTCATTTTTTTGTTTTTTAAAAATTCATTATCAAAAAAAAATCGAAAAAAATCAAGAAAATTTTTAAGAAAAATTTTTTTTTGAAAAGTCGAAAAAAGTTTACAAAAAAATTTTTTTTTCGTTTTTAAGAAAATCAATGTTTTTGACAAAAACTTTGATTGATGATCGATTTACCGCCGGCATTAGCGTTACCCAAAGCATACCACGTGGAGAAACACACACACACACACACTTTAGAAAATGAGTTTGGAGTCATTAAATACTGCGGAGCTGACGAACCACGGGGTCTCATTTCTTCTAAAAATTACTTACACAACACTAACACACACACTCTTCAGAAAATGAGTTTGGAGTCACGAAATACTGCGGAGCTGACGAACCACAGGGTCTCATTTTTTCTGAAGAATCCCATATCATAAACACGTGCGTAAGCACAAAAGAAGCGTAAATCCGACCGTGCAACCTCCACGTGGTATGCTTTGGGTAACGCTAATGCCGGCGGTAAATCGATCATCAATCAAAGTTTTTGTCAAAAACTTTGATTTCCTTAAAAACGAAAAAAAAATTTTTTGTAAACTTTTTTCGACTTTTGAAAAAAAAAATTTTCTTAAAAATTTTCTTGATTTTTTTCGATTTTTTTTTGATAATGAATTTTTAAAAAACAAAAAATTGAGTAAAAAGTGAAAAACAAATGAAATTATTTATTTTTGAATGGATTAGGTTGAGTTTAAGGGACAAAAACCTTGTTCCCTTATTTTTTCCAAAATTTCAATCAATTGGTCCGGGAAAAACCGTTGAACCAATCGCTCCAGGGATTTAGGGGGTTCTTTAAGGAACAATAGACTGTAAAATTCTCCTCAAACCTTAGCTTTCCCGCCCATATTAGCGAAGATACAGCCAAGTAACCAAAAAAGGAGAAAAAGTCACTTTTTTCCACTTTTTTCAATTCAATGTTAGAGGTGGAAAAAAATTTTTTCTTCACTAACTCTTGACTGTGCTTAATTGGAAATTTTATGCAGATAAAGAAACTCGGCGCCCGCTTGCTGTGCGACCAGTAGTTCCAGAGATATTAGCAGTTGAATGGAAAAGGATGCTTTTGCATTCAAAGTTCGATATCTCGGAGACAAATGGTCGTAATTGAGCCATCCAAAGCGATTTTTGAAGCTGAATAAACACGCTAAGAGACCTATACAATGGAGTAGCTCGAAAAAATTTTTCCATGCCCATAGAGTGAAAAACGAAACCTAGAAAATTTAGAAAAAAATTATTTTCAGCTTTGTTTAAGAATTGCATGGAAACCGGAGCTCAAAAAATTTTTTCACCAAAAAATCTGAAAACTAGAGTTTTCAAGCTTCAAAACTCTTTTTTTAAATTTCCTGTACGATCATTTTTCACTGAAATGCAGCCTGTTGAAAATCACCCAAAAATTTCAAAAATTTTTATGTTCCCTTAATTTTTGCGAGGAGTGTAGTTGAACACAACGATGGCTGCCCATCCGTCATATTCGTGAACGAGTGCTTCTAGCAGCGATTAGTCTGTTTTAGAATTCTTGTTTGTCTTTTATCATTATGAAGTTTATGATATAATCATTTCATTCATTCCATCCATCCATCCATTCCATTTCATATAGTCATTTTTTTTATAAACTCAACTTTTGTTTGAAAGAAAAGCAAGAACTCAATTTCTTGTCTGTTCTTCTCAACTGAAGTTGTATTCTGAACTGGAAGATAAAAATTGACCATTCAAAAATGTTTATAATTAAGTTTACTTTTGAGATATACTGAAGAAGGTAAAAAAAAAAAAAAAAAAAAAAAAAAAAAAAAAAAAAAAAAAAAAAAAAAAAAAAAAAAAATGTTAGGAGTAAACTGTTAAGCCATTTAACATTAAACACACACAGTTTTAGCATGAAGATACATTGCACGAGGGGTGGCGGGGCGGTGGGGCGGCGGGGCGCGGGGACACGACATTAGCGTTTAGGAGATCTATGTATTTTTATGTGCGGTGACATGAAAGGGTTATCGTGAATAAGCAGCGAAGGACAGGGGCGGCGGGCGGCGGGCGGCGACGGGCGCGGCGGCCGGTGGACGGGACGCGACGCCGTAAACTTAATGCCTGTGATTGATTGCCTATACGCTGGCTGCGGTCGAGATTGATGTGTTTTTTACGAGGTGCCGTATACTTGTGCCGGTACCTGCCTCCTCGCGGCCGTTGACACCATATCGCTCCTCAGTCACCATAAAATATCTACTGTATAGTGTACTTTACAGTCATCAATATAGGGTGGAGACGATAGAGTGATATCTCTCGTTCATTCCTAATACAAGATAGTGTAAAATATTTAAATTTTATTGAAAATCGACTTTAGATATGTCACCTACCGACCACCACGCTGGGCTTGGGTCTTTCCCCACTGAGAACAATATTAGCGTACTATTGCATTGATGACCATGCGTGTGATGAACATGATTTTATTTCGTAGATTCCTTCTTTTGCACTAGTTCATTTAATAAGTTCACATAAAATAGAAACAATTATAGTAGTATAGCATATATATTGCATTTTTGCGTCGAGTACGAATTACATGGATATAGTATGCTATCCTCAAAAGATAGACATATGCCATCGGGACTTTTTTGTAGACTTATACAAGAGAAACAATCCCATCATACATTGTTTTGTTACATCGAACGGATTAGGCAGCCTTCTTAACGAAAGCTTCTAGACGGCTTCATTTTTTTTTTTTCGATA